TTTAAAAGCTCCATATTTGTCACAAAATAATTGTGGCTTCTCTATATATGCAATACCCCAGAAACCTGTTCATTACAATGCTGCTAGTATTGCATGAGTCCCCATATAGCAGTAGATGTAAAGCTTTTTCCTTTCTATGTCATTGATCCAGTCTTAGCTCCAAGGCATAAGAATTCCTGGGGCTCTTCTGTGTGAAGGATCCAAGCAGCTTAAAAACGTAAGTTTCTTTTATGGTTCCACCAACTCACAGCCAGAATTTTCATTCCCTCAGGAAATTTTATAAGTTGGTTTTAACCCTACACTCTGATACTCACAGGATCCCCACTGAACACCACATGAAAGTGCTGGAGTACAGGGAAGGGAGATTACACATTATTTTCTGAGGAAATTGATGAATTATTCCTGAGCTCTTCCCCAGCACCAGAGAAAACAAAAATAGTATTGTCCTGAAAACTTCTGTGAGGAGAGTTAAAGTTAAGTTGTTTGTGGGGTTTTTTTTCTTCCTTAGACTGAATGAGGACATTCATAGACCATTACCAATGTGTCCTGCCAAATATTTACATCTCCGTGAAAAGCAAACGATAAGCCACATATCCAAACTAGCTCAAAAGAATCCCACTCTGTAAAGATAGAAAGATGAACTGCTTCAAATGAAGCTACAGGAACCTTTTTATGTCACACAGAAATCTAAGTGATTGCTGTGTCTGACAAATTTATCTTCTGTATCACATACATCCCAGTATTGGACAGAAAGGACTAGTTTACATTTACATCAGCCACAAATAATGGTACTAAGAAAGGCACACTGTTCACATGTAGAGCTGGGTAGGCTAGCAGGGTCTGTACAGCTACACAGACAAAAGAATGTGGCCACCATCAAGGTCATTATGTGAACTGGGACATTACTCACCTGTATTGAACAAACAGGTGCTGCAGATTCACCTGCTTTCATACTGCAGCTTCTCTGCCTACCTCACTCCTCTGACCTCTTTATCTATCAACACTACAGCCACAATGTCCACCTGCAAATACTCATCTCTTGTGGGAAAAATTAAAACATGTTTGATTCTCCAGGACTGAGAACCAGTCCTGTTTCAGGCTTTCTGCATCAGGATGTGTGGTCATATCACACCACAAGTACAGCTTGGTCTTTGCCTAGGAGATACTCAAAAATACAGAGAAATCCAACAAGGCAAATTAAGGAAATGTTTTGCTTGTCAGATATATAAAATAAAATACTAGATTGGGCAGAAACTCACTGCAGTCTGAGTGACTACACCTGGATCATATTTAACTGTAGCAAAAAGAAAATATAGAAAATTAAGACTATCAAGAGAAGTGGATACACACCATCAGTACAGCAATTTTCTCAAGAAAATAATTAAGAGGAAGATGCATGGCTGAATAAAGCAAATAGTCAATCCTTCTATTGCATAAATGCACTCTCCCCAAAAAAAACCCCCAACAAACAAAACAAAAAAACCCACACGCACAAAACCAGAAACCAAACAAAACCAACCAACCAAACAAAAAACCCAAACACACAACTGACATAATTTAAATCGGTCATCTCCAAACTCTTTTGATCATGCATTCCTATTGAAACATTGTGGAGAAAACATCCTTAGTATACATATTTTTTATCAGTTACATACATACTTTACTAAAGTTTTAATATTTTCTTCCTGCACCCCATTGGATCCTTTCATGTACACTGATTTAGATGATTTGAGTAACTTAAAAAAAAATGCAATGCTTTGGATGAAAGAAACACCTGGGCTTCTTCCTTGCAGTGTTGCAGAAAACAGTTGGATGCAGAAATATATAGGCCCTATGGTCACATATAGTTTGCTAGTCATCTTAGGTGAAAGCTTACAATTACGTACCATAAGGCAGTCCAACACATTTCATAGATGAAGAATCTGTGGGAAAGATGGGCGCTTATCCCTCAGTTGGACTGCTCATCATCTATGTCTAAAAACAATGCATCACCACCAAAACATTTCAGGGATGCTACGCTTCAAGTCTCTCTGGAAGGCAGATGCCTTTCATCAGGAGGTGAGGTTGCTCTTTCAGAGGAGTGCCCAAAACCCTGCTCCATACCCTGTCACCCTCAGATTCTCAGACCAGGTATTTCCTGCTTCCCTCACCTGCCAAGGTCTAGGTGCCCACATTCTTGAACAATTCACAACATACAACCAGGAACAACCGCTGTAAGACAGTGGCAGTGGTATGTTTCTGCTCTACAATGAGGATATTCACTTGAGACTTCTTCAAAAGGATCAGTCTCTAACCAGTCACCGGCTTCTTCAGAAGCGTAACTTGCTTGTGATGCCACTGGGCAAGCAACATGAGGTCCAAAATCTTCTGAAGCTGTGGTTTCGAAGACGCAAGTATCTTTTATTCTCTAGATAAAATACTAAGTTTACCCTGGGAGTGTTCTATCTTTATAGGTCCCAGATATTCCAAACATCCCGAGTTAAAGAGGTCTGTCTTCAAGGCAGTTTCTGTGAACCTCACAGTATTTTTGAAGATACTGGCCTCTTAGAAGATAAGATAGTCTTCAAAACAGGAGGCATAATTTGCTCTTCAGCATTGGATTAAGTAAAATATGCGGCTACTTCCTTATTCTTTTTTAATATGTGAAGGTCGGACCTCCAGAGCAGGGAAAGGATAGAGTGATCAGACAGCTGGCCATGAAATTCATAATTGAGAATTTAAATTGAAAGTCTCTTCTGTTTCGGGGTAATACCGCTGCATTTTTGCTTTCGATCTCACAAGATCTTGTAAGGTAAATTTAGGTCAAATAAAAAAGAAAAAAATACCCTAGAAAATTACATTTTAAGGGCCACCTGCGTTCCCTACGATTTTACGCAACGAGCCGACGCCGAGAGACCACATCCCGCGGACGCCTATCGGCGAGCAGGCGCTCCCTCACGGAAAAACCACCCCCGCCCCGCCCCGCCCCGCCCCGCCCGCCCTCCCCGCCCCGCCCGCCCTCCCCCTCCCTCCCCGTGCCCCGGGGCTCCCGTGACGCGCGCGGGACCCGCCGGGCGCGCGGCCAGGGCGGGGCTCACGGCCCCAGAGCGGCAACGGGCGGAGCGGGCGGGCGGCAGCACCACGCATGTACCGGCGGGCGGGCAGCGGGAGGAGCCGCGGCCGCCGGGCGGGCTGCGCTCCTCCCTCCTCCTCCTCCTCTTTCTCCTCCTCCTCCTCCTCCTCCTCCTCGCCGTCCTCTTCTTCCCCTTCCCCGTCTCCCCGCCTCCAGCGCTTTCCCGCCGCCCGCCCTCCGCGCACGGCGGGTCCCGCCTCGCGCCGCTGCCGACACGGCCGCCGCTGCCGCTGCGGGAACAAAGGAGCGACGCGGCGGCGGCGCGGCCGCCAGCTCGGCGCCCCCCGCGCTCCCGACAGCCGCCCGGAGCCGTCCGCGGCGCCTTCTCCGGCACCCGCCGCGGGGTTCGTGGCCCCCGCCGGGAACAGGTGGGTGAGGGGCGGCGGGCTGGGCTCGGCTCCCTGGGGCCTTTCCGGCAGCGGGGTGTGCCCGGGCCTCCTCGCGGGCGGCTCCTACGGCCGCCTCGTCCCGCCTGGCCCACGGCGCGGGGCAGTGCAGGCGGGAGACGTCGAGGTTCCTGTGCCTGGCGGCGGCTGAGGCCTGGCGGCGACGGAGCCACCGTGACTCAGGGGGTTGCGGGGAGCGGCCTGGCCGGTCATCCCCGCCCGCCACCACCGCTCCTGAGCGCGACACCTCCCTGGTCTTTTGTGTCCCGGCGTCGGGGGAGGCGAGGGGGAGTGGGGGGCCACAGTTAGGGCCTGAGGCGCTGCGGGCTCTTGGCAGGGGCCCCCCCTTTGTCTGAGTCAGCCACCGGACTGCACCCGCCTGGGGAGCGCCCGGTGCCGGCTCCCTTCTCCCCTACCGACCCTGGGCTCTACCTCGGCCGAGCGCGTCCCTGACAGGCGAGGGCCTCACGCAATGCCTGTGCCACCCTCCTTTTGTTTTGTTTCTGTGCTTCTCGTGTTTAATCGTGGCCTCTCTTGGGGAGAGAGATGCTGAGGCAAATGGGTATTGAGGTCAGCAGGCCCATGGCTGAGGCAGTGCCCGAGTTTTATGGCTGTTTTCAGCGCCCGTTTGTGTCGTTACTCCGCAGACTTGGCTAGCCCGGCGGGACGGGGCCGGCCCGGTCACGGCCTCGAGGCCGCGGGGCGGGGGTGGGGGTGGGCTGAGGAGCGCGGCCGGGGTCGGTAACGGGATTTACCCGCCCCCTCTCCGCGTTGAGGCGGTAACGGCGGGGGAGCGCGGCTGGGGCTGCCGGCGGGATAATATGTTCGGGAGACCGCGGCCCTGAGGTGAAGACCTGCTGCTGCTGGTGAAATGAGACCTTTCTCAATGATCTTGTTTCCTTTCCTCGAAAAGGAGCGGTTGGGTATAACCACCCCCGCGTTTGTGGAGCGGAGGCTGCTCCGGGCCTCGGTCACGCCCAGCAGCGACCACAGCGCTGGCGGGGAGAAGGGCAGCGGGAGGCGGCGGGCTGGTGATGCCGCATTTTCTGGGCTGCCTGTAAGCACCCGCTCTCCCCTGGAAGGGAAGGGCGGTCGGATTTCGCTGGCGCCTCCTCCCGCCAGAGCCGGCGGCCTGCGGGAGATATAAATAGGGACTGACTTCAGCGGGCGGCGGGGGCGGCCGGGCGCCCCAGGCCCGTGACTTTCCGCCTGATGGGCGGAAGCGCACTCTCGCTCGCCATGTGACCGAGCGGGCAGCGAGGGCTCGTCTGCCGCCCGAGCGCCCGGGGCAGAGCCGTGGCGGCGGGGTCGGCCGGGGTGAGTGTGCGGCTGGAGGTGGGCGCCTTTGGAGTGAACCCGAGTGACAGCCGGAGTGCATCCCGGAGCCTGGAAAAGCTCGACTTGTTCAGCGTTGGGTAGCAACGACTTGACCTTTCCGTTAGGGGCACGTATTTCAAGTGGTGGAAGAACGTGCAGACAAAAGGAGCTGCGGAGTATGTAGTTTGTAGTAGGATAATAGTAGCGTTAGTACCTAAAGCAAGATTTAGTAAATGGTGAAATCTGTTGTGGCACACTGACTTGGAAGTGAAGCAAGTAGATTGAGGTCGGTGTTGGCAGTGTGTTCGGTGGCACTTAGATCTTACCGACTTAGTAATGAAGGCTGGAGTACAGTCTTTATTTATATTATACAGATATAGGTCTTACAGTATAGGTGACAGGATTGTTTTTAGATTTCTCTAGGTGGGTCATGTTTTTTCTGGCTCACTTGCCTGGTGTGTGTGTCTGCCAAACTGTGTCAGAGTAAGTGTGAAGCTGTTTTGTAGCCTGAAAAGACACTATTTATACCTGGAAGGTATTATAAAGCCATAAATAGTACAGCTATTTATATCTGGAAAATTGGGTCCTGTGACCACCAGCAAGCAAGCAGATGAATTTTGCTTGTTTGCTTTCTTCTGGTTTTTGGTTTACTTTGATGCTAGGAGTTTAGTTTAGCTAGACAAAGGCAGCTGTCAGTTGCAATTTTCATACTCAATCTAAAGTTTACACTAAAATGTCTTCGGGTGCCATATGCATGGCTTCTACTAAATTTATATTTTAGTGCAGTATTCTTACATGTCCTCAAATTGTAGCAGATTGTGTGATTACTGTGTTCCAGTTTTATTGTCCTTGGGAATCAAGCATTTGGTTGCTGTGCAGTTTTCTACTAACCTTGCTTTGCAGAGGTTAGCAGATGATGAGGTGAAAATTTTTATGTCTGGCAGAGAGTTGGCACTGACTGCCTCTGGTAGGCTCAGAAGTCTTGCTATAACTTTATTAAGACACAGGGGGTTTTTTTCTTTTGTAAGTGTGTAAGCTGTTAAACAGATTGAAGTTGTTAATTTTATTTCTCTTGGAAGAGTATTGTGAGAGCAAGAACTGCTAGTAGTGGAGTTAGCCTCAAAATGACGCGAGTTCGGCACTGAAAAAGCGAGGAGTTAGGAAAAGTAAGCTGTATAGTTTGCCAGAACTGTTTTGTGGGTATAAACTTGGTCTTGCTTATTCTGCATTCTGTTAGTGCTCAGAGATTAGTAATTAAGGAGGTTTTTTGGCTGTCAAATTAAATTAACTTGTACATGCAGCTCAGTGCCCAACAGGTACTTTTTCTTCTCTTAATGGTTCATAATGATATTACTTAGCAATACAATTGGAATCACGAATGGCATATTAACATTCGTATAACCCTCTTTAAGAATGCTGATATCACTTGGGGGGCAGGTGAGCAGACATACTTTTAATTCTGTAACCCTGTAATTGATTTTGGTGACATGCCAGCTCCTAATGCAGTTCTTGATTTTATTTACAGCATCGAGATGACTCAGGAGACAAACCAGACCCCAGGGCCTATGCTGTGTACTACAGGATGTGGATTTTATGGAAATCCTAGGACAAATGGAATGTGTTCTGTTTGCTACAAAGAACATCTTCAGCGACAGCAGAATAGTGGTAGAATCAGCCCAATGGGTAAGGGGATGTGGTGTTGATTTTTTTTTTTTTTTTGCTTCTTTCAGAGTTAAACTATGGAAGATTACAAGGAATCCTAGAAAATTTTTTAGGAGAACTTCTGAAAGTTATGTACTAAAACAATGAATATCCAAGAGAATACTACTTTAAATCACAGTAAAGATAAAAATACGTTTCTGTATAATGTATTCTGATTTGCTTGGCATTCAATCATAACTTGCTTTCCCACTTAGCCTCCTCTGTTAGTGTATTCTTATGCGGTCTGTATTTTGTTTAACAGTTTACCATGTCTTTAAGTAAAAAGTAACATGCAGTAGCAGTGAAGATTTTATACAGACAGTTCATAGCTGTATGGGAGACTGTTTGACTAATGTGTTTGCTACAATTCGTTTGTAACGTGTCAAATTCTTGTTGTACAGGAACAAGCAGTGGCTCAAACAGTCCTACCTCAGACTCTGCATCTGTACAGAGAGCAGACACTAGCTTAAACAACTGTGAAGGTGCTGCTGGCAGCACATCTGAAAAAACAAGGTAAAACTGAAGTATTACTATGAGGTTTGAATGAGCTGAGTATGCAGCAGGTTGAAGGCTTGCAGCAATCCTGCCCTATCATAGTGAGTGTCTGCAGAGGAAAAAGGACCCGTGACCTGACAGGGCTTTAAGATAATCTGTGTAAATGAAAAATTATTCAAATATTTGTTGCACTGATTCAGTTAAAAGAATGTTCTTTGTTTATCTGCTGAAATAATTTGCTACAAGCTTGCCTGTTTTCTTCTGTGGAAACTAAAACAGTAAAAAAATCTGTTTTGAAGATAGTAGAAGCACATGTCAGGAAAATGAATCAGTAGTAATTGAACCAGTAGTTTATTAAGGTCTAGACTGGACAGTTTAAGCTTTTATCATGAATGTAAAACTAATGTAAATTGTGTGTTTCACTGTACTTAAACAGAAACGTGCCTGTTGCCGCTTTGCCTGTAACACAGCAAATGACAGAAATGAGCATTTCAAGAGAGGAAGAATTAACACCCAAAACAGAGACTGAGCCAGGTATGTTCTCAAAATAACACTGGGTACGAGCAGTGACTTCACACAAGGTGGAGGGTTTGTTTATCTTCTGAGTAGCTGTCTCCTGTTGCAGTGATGGTCTTGAGGAACTGTGTTAAGGGTGCTTTTGAGTACTCTCTCCTCAGAACTGAGAAAAAGGACTAGTTCCAGAACAGAGCTTTAAGATACATGTTCAATGTTAGTAAAAAAAATTGACCCCTGTGAGTGGTTTTGAATCCCAAACCTTTGTTTTTAAAAATGAGGCATTCTAAAATTGCATTTGGTCAAGGTGTTCAGTTTTGAAATCAAACTATTGAGATTCTGTGTATTATCAAGCACTACAATTCCAGCTGACTCATGGCAGTCAAAATGACTTTTTGCGTTTGGAGAACGGTGCTTAATAAATTCCATTCTACAGAGGAATGAGGCTGTGGGGAAAAGGAATATGTGGCCTAAAAACATTAACGAAGCTGCTTAGGGTTCTCGAACTTATTGAGTAGTCAGTAGATGGAACCAAAGCATTGTTCCAGGAATGTAGGATAGTTGTCGCTTTAATTACTGTGTATTAATTATCATTTAACAGTTTTATTCTCATGCTGGATTGTTACAGCTGTAGTAGTTAAACTTCAAAGTGTAAACTGTTCCATGGAGGGAGGGATAGCTTGCTAAACTACAACTAATTAAATGATTAAGTGATTAAATCTATATCAGTACGTTCAAATGGACATCTTAACACGCTTGATTTGTACTTAAACATATCCACAATGTATTTAAGAGTTGTGGCACAGTTTTGAAGATTAAAAGCTGACGTTTAGTAGGAAGTCTGTTGATTCAAGCTGAAGATAAAATCCGTGTTTTCATTATGAAGTCAGTAACATGAAAATTGCAGCAGATGCTACTCAGCATTGTATCAGAGTGATTTTTATGTAGTTATATCTTTGCTGACAAAGACTCCTCTGACACTTGATATTTAATTGCTCAGTGCTTGTACAGAGGATTTTACCATTTGCATAAGTCATGCTAAGTCAAGGTTCTCTGACACGAACAGTACAGTTATACAATATGTTGGGGTTTTCATTATGTATGGACTGAGGGGGGCTTTTTTGCAATTATTAAATTCCTGTAACTGATGCTGTCTGAAGAGGCTTTCATTATGTAACTGAAAAATAATTAAGACTTTGATACAGTATTCATTAACCCATTGGGCCTTGTTATGAAATCCTACCTGAATGTGACAAGAAGGAAATAGCAATACATAAAATGGTAGTAGTGATGAGGTCACAAGTGACTTTAAATCTTAGAACTGCTGTCATGTTACCAGTTGTAAAGGAAATCTTTTGTTATTGTTGATATATTACCTGTTTTTCATGTACTGTGAGTCAACTGTATGATAGTGTCACATAGCACACTATTGATAAAAATGGGAGAGAAATCCAAAGCAGCTCAAGATACTTACGTATTGTAATAAATAATCTCACAGGTTGAAACCAGTAAAAGCTGTCACAAGCTTGTGTAGAGATCACTGAAAAACTACCAAAGAACTTAAATGTCTCTGGAAAAAACTTGAAGAGCAAAACTACCTTCCTGAGAACATCCCTGTAAATTTGTGAGGCAACCTCACCTGCTCTAATGTCCAAGTTCCCTTTTAAGTATTATGGTTTGGCACAGATCCTAGACAGCATAAGATAGTGTTGTTGTATACTATTCTTAGTGTTTGTTGGAAATCCTAAATAACCAATGTTGGCTGTATTCAATGGTATGTTGACCTGTGTCTTGCAGGCAAGAGAAGCTGGCCTAGACTTTTTATACAAAATTCCTGTTGTGTCTGGACTAGGCAGATTTTTTTATCTTCCTTTTTCCAGTAGCATCTATTATGTCTTTCCTTTCAAGGGCAAACTGAAACAATGGTAAATAATTCGCATCACTTCATAACAAGGAAGCTAATACTTCCTGTGAGGTGTAATTCTCTGAGATAATGCTGCAGTCATGAAGTAGTTAATGTATCACAGGCTGGCTGTAAGCATAGTCTGATCCTAGCAACAGTTTTATTACCAGGTAGTAACAGATCAATAACTGTATCTTCAACAGTATCAAGTCACATCCTCTTCTGCAGATTTTCATTAGCAAATGAAATTTTGTATGTTTTCCTTACAAGCCAGAAAGTTAAAAATAGAATTACATCTGATCAACTAATTTTTTTAACAGTCTGTAGCATAAAATTATACTTGCTTGCTTTTGGAATTGAAACAAGTGAGTATAGAAGGTGGAGGAGTTGAGAAAAAATTAAACAGTGAAGCATAATAAGTTAGATTTTCTTCATTTTTGGGGAGGGGAGTCAGGTTTTTTTTTCTTCTTTGTGCAGGTTGAGGTTTCAACCTGGATTCATTGGTAGCAAATACGGTGCTGAGACAATTAGTTGTATCTTAACATTTGAAGGCAGGCATGATGGATAGTTGGTCAACTTAGTTGGTCACTTAGTTGATTGTAATTCGCTTATGTAAGGTGCTGTGTGTTCATGTAACTGTAACTTTTTAGTTCAACTTGCTTTGTTGCAATTTCATAACTGAACAGTGCCATGTGTTCAGTGCAGTTGTGTCTGAATTTCTCATGTCAAAGAAACTTTATCTCCAAACTCAAACTCATAAATTAATGCTATTTACAATACAGATTTTATAGGATTCTGATAAGCTTTTGTACTTTGTAAGGATTGAATTTTAACAGTCTTGAATTATAGAAATATGATTCACAGTTGCGTTTTTGCCCTGCCGAGTTGTAGGAATTAAATGCAAAATTTAGCAAACTCTATTCCGTTTCGTGGGTTATGCTGTCAGAGCAATATATCTACCAAGCTAGCAAGGCATAGTGGAACCCTTTCTTAAGGAACTTGTTTTGCTTGTTTTAGGAGGTATTTAAATGGAAATAAATGTGTAAAAGAGAGTTAAATTAATAGTAACCACTAAAAATAATGGCTTTGGAAACAAGTATGTTTAAAAAATTGATTTGTTTCAAATCACAGCATATTTTCAGCATTTTATGCACTTTTGTATGTCATTATCTTGCTGAATGAACAGCCTCTAGTCAGATCTGTCAGAGTTTTCAGACACAGTATCAGCATGTGTGTGTTTCAGACGTTCAAGGTACTTTCTGTGGTTGTTTTTTGTTTTTATTATTTCAGGAGGTTTTGGTTGGGTTGTGGGTTTTTTTAAGGCAATAATAGCTCTGTTTTAGGGAGTAGTGTGATTAATTATTGTTTGTAAACCCACAGCTGCAAAGTAATACTGCTTACAAAAAAGTAAACCAGAAAATGAACTGATAATGGTATTGTGTAAATTACATTTACTGTTAACTTCCACCCATGCTGTAATTTACCCTTCCATTTCCCAAATTCACCAGTAGCAGTGTTGGAAGGCAGTGGGCAGTGGTTGGTTGGCACACATCTTTTGACTTCCTACCAAGCCATTACGATTAGAGCTATTTTAGAGCTGTCCTTCATTCAGGTTGAGAAACCCTTGCATATGTTGTGGGTAGAGCCAGTGTGTTACATCTGCGATGTGTACAGTGTGTTGCAGGTATTATTGTGAGTAAGATCTAAGTAAAGTAGCTTATGAGATATTGTAGGCTCAAGATGGTGAAGTACATGACATGCCTTAGGTCTTGTTGTA